CCACACATTTAAGCATGTTTGAAACACCCTTGAAAAAACCTGCAAACACCCTGTTCCGCTCCCGCCCTGTCCCACCTCTTTTTGTGATGTTTTTGTGAAATTTTTGTGCACCAGCTTCTCCTGGGTCTTTGCTCCAGCTGCTGCTCTCCAGATATCCAGGGCAGGGGTAGGGAATGTGGTGGTAAAATAGAATCAGTCAACATGTCAACATGTGGGTTCATACACAGAGGCCCAGGAAAAACAGCACAGTGCTTCAAAATATCTGGGACATATCCAACTCCCACCAGCCCCAGCTAGCATGGCCAGACATCAGGAACGATGGGAGCTATAGTCCAAAAACATCTGGAGGGCCTCAGGTTCCCCACTCCTCCTCTCTAGAAGACTGAAAGATGGGTACCACTACATTGCTGCCTTCATAGGTTGTGTTAGCTGTGCTTGTATGCAAACACACAAAACTGGCCCCCAGATTTCATTTAAACCAGAGTTAATAAATTCAGGTTGAAGGGATGGTGTGTGTTGTGTGTTTGCTCTGACTGGGGGAATAATGTCTAAAGGATTAAGAATTACTTGGTTACAGCTTTAGTTGCCAAGTTAGGCCAAATCCAATAGCCTGATTAATGCTCGCTTCTTCAGAGCCTTTTGTGGTTGGAAAGGCTCAGACAAAACATAAAAATCTATTAATTATTGTAGGTATTGTATTCATGTAAGATCTTTCTAAGTCTTTTATTACCATTGTAGGCATTCCTGTAAGATCCCCCTGTGCCTGCAAATCATTTGCTTGTTTTTATATATTATGTTTTGTGTCGTTTTACTGTTTCATAGCCAGTGTGTGTGTAAAATTTAATGTAAAACCACAGCTGTTGATTTTCTTCTCCTATCTTTAGATGTATGGTTTCATTTTCCACAGTGTGCCACCTTCTGTTAGGTACATCCATGTGTGTTTGCTTGCTCTGTTGTTACCATACATATCAAAAGGAAAGCATTATACACAGAAAATTTGGAGCATGATTTGGCAAATTTCCATAGCATGTGTCAAGGGCTGCATGCACATCATAAGCACCCTTCCTCTTTGTTCAAACAGGAACTATGTGCAATTACATGCACGATAGGCGAGAATTTTCCCCTGAAGTGGGTTATTAAAGCAAACACTGGCTTATTGCAGACCTGCCTTTACTCTGAAGGCGCTACTGTGGAGAAGGAGCCCTTTGCTAATCGGAACCTCACCCAGCAAAGCAAAATGTGATTTTGCGTAGAATTCTATATGCAAATAGAACCTTTTATATCTCTTCCTCCATCCTCAGGGGTTCCAACAGGATTTTCTGGTCCAGTATATGTCCAATATATGTTGACTGGACCCTCTGACCCACTCACAAAAGAGACCATAGATGTGCATACAATTTGCATATGCCATGCGTCATATGCAGATTTGTCTCTTTTGTAGGTGGACTGGAGGGGCCCCCAAATAAATCAGTGGCCACACATGTAATAAAATGTCTGACAAACAGAATGTGAATGGGTGAAGATTGCATTTCCGTACTAAGCTGTTGAATTTCTGCCTGCCGCACAGCTGGTAAAGACACAAAAGCCGTGCTTTTCCAAAACCAAAGCCTAGGCTACCATCCTGTGCCCACTTACCTAGCAGTAAGCCCCATTAACACTTCTGAGTAGACATACATGCCTAAGCCACTTTGCAAATTTTTCACATTTCGCATTTTCCAGTTTGGAGGGAGATTCTTTAGCACCACCAAGCACATGATGTGTAATACAGTGGTACCTCGGGTTAAGCACTTAATTCGTTCTGGAGGCCTGTTCTTAACCTGAAACCATTCTTAACCTGAAGCACCACTTAGCTAATGGGGCCTCCTGCTGCTGCCGTGCCGCCAGAGCACAATTTCTGCTCTCAGCCTGAAGCAAAGTTCTTAACCTGAAGCACTATTTCTGGGTTAGCGGAGTCTGTAACCTGAAGCGTCTGTAACCTGAAGCGTCTGTAACCTGAAGCGTATGTAACCTGAGGTACCACTGTAGAAGGGTAAACTATGGAGATTCCAAGGGCAACTAGAAAATAAGACAGAAGCAAGAAAGGGACACTAACGGGGAGGGGGGGAAACCAGCCCTTTAAGACTCCACGGATTCTTATCACCTGTTTAAGAGGCATAACAGTTTCCCCACATCCAGATCAATCTGACAACTAGAGAAAAGAGGTCTATGCCATTCAACTTTCATCTGTCTTTACCCGATGCAGGGATTCCCTGGGCAGGATTTGACTAATTAGTTCCATCAGTGGAAAAATCTGTGCATGGACTTCTGCTTTTGCAAAGGAGCTTTCCCCTGTCCTCTCCCCAGTATGCCCCCTGAAATTGGTCAGGCTGAAACGGGTCAGGAGAACCTCCGGGGACAATGTGCTGGAGGGAGGAGAGGAGGGGTTGTGTTGTCTAGCAAGTCAAGAAGACAAAACAATAGCTGAATCCCTTCCCATGGCATCCCCCCTCTTCTATAAGCATTCTCCTCCTTCTTTTAACCCAGGGGTCAGCAACCTTTTTCAGCCGTGGGCTGGTCCACCGTCCCTCAGACCTTGTGGGAGGCTGGACTATATTTTGAAAAAAAATATGAACGAATTCCTATGCCCCACAAATAACCCAGAGATGCATTTTAAATGAAAGCACACATTCTGCTCATGTACAAACACCAGGCAGGCCCCACAAATAACCCAGAGATGCATCTTAAATAAAAGGACACATTCTACTCATGTAAAAACATGCTGATTCCCGGACCATCCACGGGCCAGATTGAGAAGGCGATTGGGCCGCATCTGGCCCATGGGCCTTAGGTTGCCTACCCCTGTTTTAACCCATCAGTTAAGCTGGCCACCACCATTTCCCTACTGCTATCATCTGTGACAAAGAACTGGACATTTACAACAAGAGTGGCTAACTCGTGGCCCTCCCTATGTTGCTGGACTCCATCTCACAGTGGCTGCAAACCAGCATGGCCAGAGGTAGTTCAACAACATCTGATTTACAATAAAAATGGCAGGTTGTTGTCAGCCCCTTTTCTACTGCTCTGCTGTCTCCTTCCTCTTCCTGTTCCCGACATGTGTCATTCTCATTCTGGAAGAGGCAAGGCTTTTTAAAAGGTGTTTGACATCAGCTAGATGAAACTTTAAAAATAATTATGAGTTATGAAACTAAGCCCAAACCCTCAGGGTTCTTACTAGCGAAAATATCATTATGCAGGGAGGAGGGGCAGAGCTGTCAGCTGCAAAAGCACCCTGTGCTGAGAGTCTGTATTATCATTATTTCATTAATGTGTAATAGTCGTTATGGTTGATTGCTTTCATTCATGTTGTGTAGTGTTTTCTTCTTTCTATTTTATTGACATTTCACAACCCTTATGAGAATCAATTGGAAAAAAGAAGGAGGAAGGCATTGGGAAAGTTAGGCTCAACAAGAAATATGTTTCAAAGGCGGAACTGAAACAAGTCTAGTCTTTCATTTAACTTAAAGCCAACATAACAAAAAGATGGAAAAGCCAAAGCAGGCATGTACAGGAGATGTGGCTTTGCAGTAGGAACACTTGCCAAACTTGATAGACTGTGGAAACATGAGACAAGAAGATCTCACCTGAAACCAAGATAAAATGGTTTAGGTCACATGCGATTTCAGTTATCCTTGATGAAGGTGGAACTTGAGTTTTATCAGCAGCAACTGAAGGGAGTACCATATTTTTTGCTCTATAAGACTCACTTTTTCCCTCTTAAAAAGTAAGGGGAAATGTGTGTGCGTCTTCTGGAGCGAATGCAGGCTGCGCAGCTATCACAGAAGCAAGAACAGCAAGAGGGATTGCTGCTTTCACTGCGCAGCGATTCCTCTTGCTGTTCTGGCTTCTGAGATTCAGAATATTTTTTTTCTTGTTTTCCTCCTCCAAAAACTAGGTGCGTCAAATGGTCTGGTGCGTCTTATAGAGCGAAAAATACAGTAATTTGAGCTTGTGAACACAATTTCCCTCAATATACACAATTTTACAAGCAACTTCCCCTATATAGTGTATTTTTGCATGCTATTTTCATGAAGATATGCATTTTCTGCACTCTTTCGTCCAATATATATGCATTTCTATATACATTGCTTGGCTAGAGAACTGCATTGCAAAATTCAGAGCAGTGTGAATTTTGAAGGATAATGTCCCACTTTTTCTTTTTCCTCCCTCCATGTTTTGGAGAACAAATAAAAGTGGTGTGTTTTTCTACGTAGGTGCAAAAGCTGACTCCTGTTTCTACATAGAATAAAATCCCTGCACCAAATGAAAGGAATGGTGAAATTGGCATTCATAGTAAGATGTAACCAATCCACTTTAAATTATTTAATTGTAATGCTTCTGCAGCCAGTCAGGTATGGAGGGTTACAACACAGGCAATTGGCTATGTCATTTGCCAAAACCTTCTCTCTCCAGAGGAATTGGGGTTGAAACACCTATATTTGCCCAGGCCTTAGGCAGTTGTACATTACATTATTCTTTTATTATTATATTTCCTCTTCCCCTTTTTCTTCTCTGCCCTGCTATTTTGTCCCTCTCAGTTTCTCTTCTCACCTTTCTCCATCAGTCTTTCTTTTTTGAATTACAACCAGCCTCTCACTTATATTCTCTCACCCTTCTCACATTCCCCTTTCCACATTTCTCATTCCAAGGCTTTTCAGAATGGGTAGAACATTGACAATTAAAGGGCAAAGCCTTTCTCATTCCAAGATTCTGGAGAGATACTACCAATGCAGAGTAGACAAGTGGTGGCCAACATGGTGAGCTTCATAGGTTGTTGAACTCCATCCATCAGTACTATCAGTCCCAGTCAGCCTGGCCAATGGGCATGGATGGCCGAAGTTAGAGAACCATATTGGCAACCTCTACAGCTGAGCACTCACTGGGCAGGTGCTTTGGCTGCTTGATAGGTTCATATATGTTTACCTTCTCCCATTTTGAACTCCAATAATGCTTCTGACAAAGCGTGCAAGATCTAAGCAATGTATTTATTTTAAAAATAGTTTCAGGAGAGAGAGGAACCCAAAGACGTTTTTGTTCTACTTGCATCAATTTCTACAAGCCAGAAATATGGTGAATGGCTAGAGGCATTTATCCGTAGTCATCATCATCTCCACCATCCAGAAAGAGTAATGATTATTGGGTGTTTCTGATTATTAACCAATGCTGCAAATATATATGGAGAAATGCTGTATCTGGTTATTAAGCAGCTTTTGGAGCGCATTGTTCTGTGGGAGAAAGGAAGAGAAGAGTGTCAGGGAAAGTGGTAAGGAGGAAGAAAATGTGAGCAACTCATATGTATTTCTTTATTTGGAATCAGTGGTAGATGATGCCCATTGGGATTGGTGGCATGGGAGGCAGGGAGGCCAACAGCAGATGAGAGGCCCCCGCCTACTGAGTTCTACAGGGGCAACGCTGAGATGAAGGAGGAAGCTCTCAAGGAGTTCCACTCCTTGGCTGGTGGTCAGTAAGAAGGTGGGCATGTGAAGACTCCCTAGGGGCAGACTAAGGCTGGTGGGACCGTGTCCTATTTGCCTTAATGGGTAAGCCACTGTGAGGAACATTTGTATCTCACCATTCTAGTTCAAAACTAAGCCACTCAACACAGTTAACAAATGCAGAAATTTTGGGGGTGGGAAACAGAGCCTATAAAAATTTATGCCAATGAAAGAAGAGCAGATAAAATAAACAATACAGAGGTGTAAAAACCAAAGAGCAGAAGCAGCCAAGTATACTGACAGCAGCAAGAAAATGTTTTGATATGTGGCCAGGAAGGACGGGTCCTCACTAAGGTCTTTGGGGGAATATGAACCTTCAAATATGATAGCCACCTAGGCCAGCATTTCATGCATAACTTTTGGACTGGGTTTTTTTCCAGTCTCCAGCCAAGTGGAAGCTGCCTCCTTGCAGCTGGGACTGAAGCTACTTTAATTCTAATTAACTGGAATCTGAGCCCCATAAGGCAGCCGAAGACAGAGTTGCTAGTCCTAACCAGGCCATCATCTAGAGCTGGGAACTAGGTAGAAAGGTCAGGGTAAAGGACCCCTGGACAGTTAAATCCAGTCAATGGTGACTGTGGGGTTGTGGTGCTCATCTTGCTTCAGGCCGAGGGAGCCGGCATTTGTCCACAGTCAGCTTTCCGAGTCATGTGGCCAGCATGACTAAATAATAATAATAATATTAATCATAATTTATTATTTATACCCCACCCATCTGGCTGGGTTTCCCCAGCCACTCTGGGCGGCTTCCAACAGAATATTAAAATACAATAGTCTATTAAACATTAAAAGCTTCCCTAAACAGGGCTGCCTTCAGCTTCTGGCGCAACGGAACACAATGATGAAGGCAGAGATCATGGAAATGCCATTCACATTCCCACCGCAGTGGTTCCTATTTATCTAATTGAACTGGCGTGCTTTCGAAATGCTAGATTGGAGGGAGCTTGGACAGAACAACAGGAGCTCACCCAGTTGCAGGGATTCCAACTGCCAGCGTTCTGATTGGCAAGCCCAAGAGGCTCAGCAGTTTAGACCACAGTGCCACCCGCGTCCCTCAGCTGGTCTCTAGCCAGACCCTGCCCAGGAGCCAGAATTGCTGGAGTCCCACCACACACACCACCCCAGCTGAGGGATGTAGAACAAACTCCTTCCTATCCATTCCCACAGCTAGGTCCAAATTGTCTGCTGCCCTTAGCAAATCTACCCCCCACTCAATTCCTGATAGCTTCAGGTGCTTTAATTATGATTAAGCATGGAAATCAGACCTCAGTTAATTTCAGTGATTTAACTACAGTGGTACCTCAGTTGTCGAATGTAATCTGTTCCAGAAGACCATTCGACTTCTGAAGCGTTCGACAACCAAGGCGCAATGGGCAGTCAGCAAATTCAATTGAGACAATTAAGAAATGAGCTTCAGTAGCCGTTCGACTTCCGAGGTGCATTCAAATCGGAAGCATTTATTTCCAGGTTTTCAGCAAATACCAAAATGTTCAACTTCTGAAGCATTCAGCAAACGAGGTACCACTGTACTCAAACTGTAGTGGTGATCCAGATTTGTGAATCTCTCTGAGACTAAATATAGCTCCTCAGATTCTGTTTCACACAGAGACATTCATACACACCTACAATAAAAAAATATTGAGATCAGGTTGCCTTACCGACATTCCCAAAGTATTTGATGTGTGCCTCAGGATACTTTTGCTCCAAGGCTAATTTCTTGAATTTTTCTTTGATGTCATCTCCCAATTTCGATCCCCTAGCTTTAAACACAAGCAAAGGTTGAGTAAATTGTTGTTCTGAGAAAGGCTGAAATATCTGTTTTATGTCTATAGAGCACCCAAAGTCTCTTATTCTTGCCATCTTCTCTGGATTGTCCATTGGACAGTCAGGAACAGAACCCCCATGAAACCAGAGAAGAGGATCTAAGCAAGCTTGGCCAAACCTGGCCCTCTAGAGGTTTTGGGGCTACAATTCCCATCATCCATGACCACTGGTCCTGCTAGCTAGGTATGATGGGAGTTGTAGTCCCGAAACATCTGGAGGGCCATGTTTGGCCATGCCTGATCTAAAGGAACTGAAAGCCCACACAGGTGCTGACTGTCCCTATTTGCTAGTGGGAGGCTTTATGGTAGCTGCTCTTTCTGCTGGATCATTGTGAAGTGCTAAAAGGGCCATTATTTAGGGTTCAGCTCCCTTTTCCAAAAAAGATATTCCTTCACCATGGGAAGCGTTGATTATTCCATTAGCCACTTTTTATTCTAGAAGATTATTGTAGTCAAGATTTTAAATAGGTTTTCCTCCTTCTTTTTAACTCTGTACAGTATAGGTGACTGTTGACAGCAAAAAAAAGAAAAGGGGGGGGGGTAGAAATTAGCCATATAAGTATAGATAAAGATATTCAATAATTTTGTATTCTATTTTGTATGCTAACTAGAGCCGTAATTGGATTGAACAGAACTTAGGGTATCCGTCCATAAACTTAGGGTATCCGTCCAGTTGTTTTAGGCAAAACCTTCCACCAGCCACCAAACTATACTACAGATGGAAAAGGCAAGGCAGGGCCAACTCCTTCAGCACAGCAGAGTGAAGATCAGCACTGGCTCTGCCTCCTTCCTTTGAACTTTTCCTGCTCTGGCTGGTCCACAGAAAAACTTGAAACTCAGAACTTGAAACTGAGCTTGCTTCTTTCCTCTCCTCCCAACCCATTCTCCTTTTGTGACTTTTAGGGTGTGTGTGTGTGTGTGTGTGTGTGAGAGAGAGAGAGAGAGAGAGAGAGAGATTTGTAACTTCTTTGTGGCTGAAGAATGAGTTGAAAAACAACAACACTAACTAACTAGCATCCTTTTTGCTGAACCACGGATATGCCACAGGGTGGAGTGAGGGTTATTGGTTTGTTTGTTTTATGTTGTGAACTGCTCTGAGATCTATGGGTGAAGAGCTGTATTTAATAAATAAAAATAAAATCCATTGCCATAACACATACCAGACAGATACATAGTTTCGTTTTCTAATTTCTTCTTGTGCAAAATGACATACTTTTCATAATCAACATCCATGATGTGGGCAATACCATCTATACAGGAAACAACACAAGATATCAACTGAAGGAAGCGGGTTCCTCATTTCTTGACTGTTAGTGGAGGGGGGGGCAGGCAAATGGGGATCAGCCACTCTTAGTCACCTTAATTATTCATTCTTTCTCCCTCCCTCTCATTAATATGTCTTCAGAATTTTAAGGGAGGTGAATCTCCATGACTTAATAAGTGTCCTGCCCAGGTCCACTGCCACAGATTGCCCTACCTAAAGCAGGCAGTGGGAATCACCATTCCTTCACCCCCACACATTTCATCTTGCTCCCTTTCTTACTTTCCCCCTCTTTTAGCCATGGTGTTAGGCATGGCAGACTCCTTCCTTCAGCTCTTGAGTCAGAGAAAAGAGCGTCCTTCCTAAAAGGAAGGTGTTTGTGTGGCCAAGGCTGCAAGTACTATGCTGAAAATCTAAAGTTAAATATAAATGTTGACTAGTTACCATAGGAAATATATGATTATGTGGACACTCTCTCAACCCCTTCCCCAAAAGGCCTTGCTTTGAGGAAGGACACCCCCCTTCCTCTTTCTCAATACAGTCATACCTCTAGTTGCGTTCGCTTCATGTTGCAGATGCATTCTGCACGCTTCGCACATGCGCAGAATGGCCGTGTGCACTCCATGCTTGCGCAGAAGCACCGCTCTAGTTGCGGACTTTTCGGCACCCCGGCACCCCGGCACCCCGGAACATATTGTGTCCACAACTAGAGATACCACTGTATGTGGTAAAGGACTTCCCCATAACCAGACTGTTACGTACCTTTAACTCCTCATTTGCCCTTCCTATCTCTTTGTTATTTAGACTGATAGTCTTATGCTGCATCCTCTTTACAACCTCCTCCTCCTCCTCCTCCTCCTCTCACTTCTCTCTTGAATCTCAAGATGAGAGGTCAGCTTGGAACGATCTTCCGAAAGAACTCTGGAGCAAGCATGGCTGCCTTTGTTTTCTCTAGGCTACTTAGGTTTAGTGAGACCCAGTGCTTTCTTTCAAAAAAAAAAGTTTAGGGGTCCTCTCATATTCCTACTCATATTGAAATACTGCTCCTCAATGAGGCCAAACTTAGATTGACAAAATGTTTAAGGGTATGCGTACCCCTGTGTCCCCCCAGAAAAAAAGCTCTGGCTAGACCTATGTTTGAACATTTGCCCAAATGTTTGAACATTTGCCCAAATCACAGCATCTGGATCTTCCGATCACAAAACATACTTTTTCATCAGGTAATAGGGTGGCTCATGGTAGTCATATTTACCAGGAAATTTGAATACACCAGGTTTGTCAGTGTGCTTTAACAAGAAAGATGCTTCCTTGCAGTGACCATCCCTGGAAAAGAGAGCTAAATGAAAGCAATTCAAAACCAGATACCCAGCCTGCTTCTGCCTTGCTTCCCCCGCGTGTATTTTTTAGGGTGTCAGAGCCACTGATGGAAGAATACATTACCAGTAAGATGCCTTAGACTTTACCAGAGGGAAGGATAGCCAGAGTGTCAAGAGGAATGGCACCCTGTTGCTATCAATGCCTTCAAAATGAACAGGCCTTTTTGGAGGCCTCTACATTATCAAATGGTTTCCACAGGATTACTCAATGTCTCCATTGGCATTCCAGCTATGTTTTATTTATATCACTATGCCCACCCTAAGTGGCTCGTTATGATATATTAAGATAAAACAAGACACACACAAAAAGAGAGAGATAATATGGGATGGGAAACATGTGGTCTTCCCTAAGCAGCAGCTCTGTACAAAATCTGGACATTGCTGCATCCAGCTCAATATTGTCTACACTGACTGGCAGTGCCAGAAACTTTATGCCCTTTCCAAAGCATCTCAAAATGATTTCAGGGGAAATCAGGGCTGTGGCTCAGTGGCAGAGCACCTGCTTTGCATGCACAAGGACCCCGGTTCAATCCCCAGCCTATGCATGATGGGAGGAGAGGTATCAGTTGTAAGGTACTAACGACATATAATTAGCGGTGAGTTTCATATCTCCATCCGAAACCTCCACTGTGTGGTCCATTGGTGATATTTTCTGATCATGCTCAGCCAACCCAGGCAACTTGGAAGCCATCCCGATGGGGTGCCACTTCCCGATAGCCTAAAACAGAAGAATTTTGATTGACATTTTAGGGGGCAGCGAAAGGTGATAGGTTTTAATATATAAAATAGCAACGTCCAGTTGGTTGATTGCGAAAGTAATGTTGGTTGTAGCGCTATGTTCAATTTTCAGTGCTGCACTTTCTGTTGTGCATTTTTTGTCATTCCCCCCCCCAAATGCTCAACAACTCCGGCCAACCCCCCCCCCCAAAAAAACCCCACACACTCCTCCTCCCTCCAATGACAATGCATAGATTAGTGCCAGTTATTTTATCCTGGGAGTACATTGCAGTCTCTGGGGAGTTGGACGTGCCTGATATAAAGCAGCCCACCTCATCTCTGTAATTTTCCTACCAGAGCTAGAAGCACAAATCAAAATCAGGCAGCCATTAATCTGTTGATAGCCAAGTTTGTGGGCTTGGGCGAGAGGAGAAGTGGGACCCAAAAGCAACAGGGCCTTTACTGTGAGCATTCAAGATCAACAACCCTAATCTGCCGTTTGCCATCTGATTGGATTTACTCTAGCTCATTGATTTTAGAATATTTTTATTCCCTGCCTGATATTATATTAATGTTTTATATTCTTGTTGTTAGCCGCTCTGAGCCCAGTCCTTGGCCAGAGTGGGCAGGGTATAATAATAATAATAATAATAATAATAATAATAATAATTATTATTATTATTATTATTATTATTTACTCAAGAGCAAAGCTGCTCAGGTGTCCTATCCAGAGTCCTAAGAGAAGCAAGGTCAGAGGGGAAAGGGGAAACATCACTCATTTCCACAGGTTGCAAGTCCCATCTGTAAATGTCTTACCTTTTGGGGGTCAAAGTTTGGGTACACAGGGATGTCAGCACTGACAGGAAATATGCAGGCAGGGGTCAGTCCAAACACCAGCAGCAGCACAGCAATCATCCTGGAGCTGGTTCTCTCCTGCTCTTACCGTGAACACCGTGTGCAGGGGGAGAGAATGATGGTCCAGGGTTTCAGCAGCCCAGTTTAAATATCTGCCTCCAAATGTCTTCAAAGCACATCCCACTCACCAACTTATGCAAAAGGGAAGAACAGAGTGGGAGCAACAGGGTTATTTTTGAAGGGAATTAGTTTTATTTGTGGTGTGGAACAAGGTGGAGTCTCCTTTGTGCTTCAGAAGAAGGGAACAAACATGTTTGTTCTCTTGGGTTGTTGAGGGGGATGTTCTTGAGGGGGGTGTTCAAGGCTGGCACATTCCCTTCCTGGGCAAGTACAAAGGTCACAGGTGCTCCATGGCATCTCCTCCTCCCGCCCCACCCCATCTCCACAAGCTGGCCCAGCCCTTAATGACTTGTGGCCTTTTCAGCAAAAAGGAGTAGAAGACCTATCACAGAATGAAATACTCAAGCTTATCCAGGATATTAGATCACTGGACCACACATCCCAGGGGCTGGTGGTGGGAACTGCCACCTCAAGGACCTGATCAGGCCCACCAAACTTTCCCTGGTGGCAGCACTGCCACAGGTAGGGGAATGTGCAGAAGACCAGCAGGTGCGGAACAATTATCCTAACCATGGGTTGAAACTAGTACACCCAGCCCAGTGCCAAAATGGAAATATAGATCATCCCTTGCCACCCACCCTGCTCCCAAAATAGATCTGATGAGCGATGGGGAGATGGTCATCTGGTATTGTGGGAGAAATCCACCCTAAGCAGTTCATTCTGTGAAAAGCCTTCTACCTCTTTTGTGGGGCAAGGGACGGTGGCGGATGTAAGTCTTTAAGCTCTGGGCAAACTTGGGTGAGGGGAGGAAGGCAATGCCTCAGAGATCATGTTATCTCTGCACCCACCCGGGAATGGAATGTGCCAGTCTTCAGAAACATCCCCCTCAACATCCCAAGGGAACAAACATGCTTGTTCCCTTCTTCTGAAGCACAAAGGAGTCTCCACAGGCTTTGATCAAATGCCAAATGGCCACTTGGGCAAGACGAATCTCCAGCCACATCTTTGTACGTGAGAGGTGGGAAGGAAGGAAATCAAAAGTAGTGATGTTATTCCTCTATAGGCTGCCATTGAAGGTCACTCCTCTTATTTGCTGCAATGTACCTTGTTCCAACCACCCCACAAATAAACCAATTCTCTTTAAAAAATAGGCCTGTTAAGTAGCATCTGTGTGGAGACAGCATTGATATAGTTGGCATAACAGAAATCTGGTGGAACACAGAGAACCTGTGTGACACAGATTCAGGTAGGTAGCCGTGTTGGTGTGATGCAGTAGAAATAGATAGATAGATAGAAAGATAGATAGATGATAGATAGATAGATAGATAGATAGATAGATAGATAGATAGATATAGTCCAGTAGCACCTTAGAGACCAACTAAATTTGTTCTTGGTATGAGCTTTTGTGTGCATGCACGCTTCTTCAGATACACTGAAAAAGAAGTCACCAGACCTTTATATATAGTGAGAGGGTGGGGAAGGGTATTACTTAGAAGGGTTGTGGGAATGGGTGAAAGGGAAGAATCCAAAATAGAAGGCATTGTAGCAATGGATGTGTTCAACTACCCTCACTATTTTCTTTCATGATAGTTTTGCAAACAAGTAATGGCGGGGGCAGGGGCTTTACACTTCACAAACATTGTCCAGCCCAAAATGAAGCACATTGATATTTCATTATTTATTATATTTATAAGTTGCCCCATAACAGGATGTTTTCCAGGCAGCTTTCCAACCACAGAATAAAGCAAATTAAAATTCATTGATGGCAAAATAAAAGTGAACAATACAAAAATAATACAGCCTAAAACTCATGCAATGATTTTGCAAAGTTTTTTTGCAGATAAAGTCGCTCAGATTCGGAAAGAGGTAGACTCCACCGTGGGAGCAGGGCCGGGGCGGGAGAGTGCTAGAGTCCTGTCTAGTCAAGTTGCGTGGGATCAATTCCAATCTGTTCCCTCCGAGGATGTGGACAGGCTGCTTGGATGAGTGAAACCAACCACCTGTCTCCTTGATCCTTGCCCATCCTGGCTTATAAAAGCTAGCCGGGAAGGGCTGGGCAATGGGCTTCGTGGGGTGGTGAATGCTTCCCTCCGTGAGGGAGCCTTCCCAGACCCGCTGAAAGAGGCGGTTATTAAACCGCTTCTTAAAAAACCATCTTTAGATGGGGCCACGATGGCCAACTATCGCCCAGTCTCAAATCTTCCATTCTTGGGCAAGGTGATTGAGCGAGTGGTTGCTGAACAACTCCAGGCACGCCTGGAAGAAGCGGACCATTTGGGTCTCTTCCAGTCAGGATTCAGGCCTCATCATGGGACTGAAACTGCCTTGGTTGCACTGGTCGATGATCTCCGGTGGGCTAGGGACAAAGGTGAGAGCTGTTTCCTAGTTCTGCTGGATCTCTCAGTGGCGTTTGATACCATCGACCATAGCATCCTTCTGGACCGTCTTGAGGGGCTGGGAGCTGGGGGCACGGTTATACAGTGGTTCCGCTCCTTCCTCCTGGGCCGTGTTCAGAAAGTGGTGGGGGGGAATGAGTGTTCAGACCCCTGGGCCCTTACTTGTGGGGTGCCTCAGGGTTCTGTCCTCTCCCCCATGCTTTTTAACATTTATATGCAGCCGCTGGGAGAGATCATCAGGGGGTTTGGGCTGGGTGTCCATCAGTATGCGGATGATACCCAGCTCTACCTCTCTTTTAAATCAGAACCAGTGAAGGCGGTGAAGGTCCTGTGTGAGTGTCTGGAGGCTGTTGGAGGATGGATGGTGGCTAACAGATTGAGGTTGAATCCTGACAAGACAGAAGTGCTGTTTTTCGGGGACAGGAGGCGGGCAGGTGTGGAGGATTCCCTGGTCCTGAATGGGGTAACTGTGCCCCTGAAGGACCAGGTGCGCAGCCTGGGAGTCATTTTGGACTCACAGCTGTCCATGGAGGCACAGGTCAAATCTGTGTCCAGGGCAGCTGTTTACCAGCTCCATCTGGTACGCAGGCTGAGACCCTATCTGCCTGCAGACTGCCTCGCAAGAGTGGTGCGTGCTCTGGTTATCTCCCGCTTGGACTATCGCAATGCACTCTACATGGGGCTACCTTTGAAGGTGACCCAGAAAATTCAACTAATCCAGAATGCGGCAGATAGACTGGTGACTGGGAGTGGCCGCCGAGACCATATAACACCAGTCTTGAAAGACCTACATTGGCTCCCAGTACGTTTCCGAGCACAATTCAAAGTGTTGGTGCTGGCCTTTAAAGCCCTAAACGGCCTTGGTCCAGTATATCTGAAGGAGCGTCTCCACCCCCATTGTTCTACCCGGACACTGAGGTCCAGCACCGAAGGCCTTCTGGCGGCTCCCTCACTGCGAGAAGCCAAGTTACAGGGAACCAGGCAGAGGGCCTTCGCGGTAGTGGCGCCCTCCCTGTGGAACGCCCTCCTATCAGATGTCAAAGAGAACAACAACTACCACACTTTTAGGAGACATCTGAAGGCAGCCCTGTTTAGGGAAGCTTTTAATGTTTGATGTGTCACAGTATTTTAATATTTTTTTGGAAGCCGCCCAGAGTGGCTGGGGAGCCCAGCCAGATGGGCGGGGTATAAATAATAAATTATTATTATTATTATTATTATTATTATTATTATTATTATCATGGCACAAGGTATGACTCAAGAAATCTAGAACAATGTTACAATCTATACAGAAAGTACTAAGAGACCTGGCTTTGCTTCAGGCCAAAAGTGAAAACTGCAAGCACTAGGCTAGCTCTGCTGGAGAGGGTGTCCCAGAACTGAAATGCCACCACTGACAACTCCTTTTCACTAATAGCCACCTGTGTTTTTCATTTGATGAGGCAGCTAACAAAGCGTAGCTGTTCCTATCCAAGTAGGGTCAGCAGGTGAGCCACCAGCCAAAGCTGACGGAAAGCACTCCATGTCATGGAGACTATTTGTATCTCCAGCAGCAATGATCGATTCAGAAATACCCGTAAGCTGCCAAATTGATGTCTCATTGTGACTTGATCCAGACATGTTGCCCACATGTTTGGATGAAGAACACAGCAGTGTCTCTGTTTTATTTGGATTGAGCTAAATACTGTAGCAGAATGCTACATTTAAATATATTATTATTATTGGAGGGAGTGGGCTGTATGCCAAGACCCTTCTAATTTCTAGATCCAGCAATAATCTAAGGAAGGATTCAAATTGTTGGAATAGCCACATCAGTTTCTTGATATTGGCACTCTAAATATGGGTTGTTAAGGTGACAAAGGAAGTGGTTGTGTGCCAGATGACAAATGAGTGGGGGGCCATCCCTCAACTCGCTAATACTTAGAAAAGGGCCAGAGGTGAGGGTGTTGGTTTTTTTGGTGTATGCACGCTAGAAGCTGGAGGAAGAAGCGGGCTGAAGCCTCTGAGGGAGAAACATGCTTGAAGTTTGCTTGAATCCAAGACTTGTGGCTATGGGTGAAGCAAGACCCTCTTGGGGTGATAATGCGGTGAGCCCCTCCATCGTAGGCTCAGGTTGTATATATGTATAAATAAACCATACATCCTAAAGACACCACAGTCTCCTCTGTACCTCATTCCGAGGAGATATGAACCCTGGATGAGCACCTGGAACTCCTGGAATCTCACACCGCTCGGAGACTGGGGTGGCGTGCAACAATATTCATGAATGAGCTCAAGCAGTATTTAGTTTTACAAGACAGACAGAAGGTATCACAGTATATGAGAATAGAAACTGATCTTGTTAAGCGCAAAATAAAGAATGCCAAGGCACTCCCATTTCTTTCAGAACTTGCCATAGTTTGCAATGGTCGACACAGTCAAAGACTTTTGCATAGTCAATGAAGCAGAAGTAGATGTCTTTCTGGAACTCTCTAGCTTTCTCCATAAACCAGCACATGTTTGCAATTTGATCTCTGGTTCCTCTGCCCCTTCAAAATCCAGCTTGCATTTCTGGGAGTTCTCGGTCCACATACTGCTTAAGCCTGCCTTGTAGAATTTTAAGCATAACTTTTCTAGCGTGTGAAATGAGTGCAATTGTGTGGTGGTTGGAGCATTCTTTGGCACTGCCCTTCTTTGGGATTTGGATGTAGACTGGTCTTCTCCAGTCCTCTGGCCACTGCTGAGTTTTCCAAACTTGCTGGCATATTGAGTGTAGCACCTTAACAGCAGCATCTTTTAAGATTTTAAATAGTTCAGCTGGAATACCATCACTTCCACTGGCCTTGTTATTAGCAGTGCTTTCTAAGGCCCATTTGACTTCACTCTCCAGGATGTCTGCCTCAAGGTCAGCAACCACACTACCTGGGGTGTACGAGACATCCATATCTTTCTGGTATAATTCCTCTGTGTATTCTTGCCACCTCTTCTTGATGTCTTCTGCTTCTGTTAGGTCCTTACCACTTTTGTCCTTTATTATGGTAATCTTTGCATGAGATGTTCCTTTCATATCTCCAATTTCTTGAACAGATCTCTGGTTTTTCCCATTCTATTGTTTCTCGCTATTTCTTTGCACTGCTCATTTAAGAAGGCCCTCTTGTATTCATAAGGGATTTGATTTAGATTGTGTCTTACTAGCCCAGTGGTTTTCCTTACTTTCTTCAGTTTAAGCTTGAATTTTGCTATAAGAAACTGATGATCTGAGCCACAGTCAGCTCCAGATCTAGTTTTTGCTGACTGTATACAGCTTCTCCATCTTTGGCTGCAGAGAATATAATCAATCTGCTTTCGATGCTGCCCATCTGGTGATGTCCATGTGTAGAGTTGTCTCTTGCGTTGTTGGAAAAGAGTGTTTGTGATGACCAGCTTGTTCTCTTGACAGAACTCTATTGGCCTTTGCCCTGCTTCGTTTTGAACTCCAAGGCCAAACTGGCCAGTTGTTCCTTTCATCTCTTGATTCCCTACTTTAGCATTCCAATCCCCTATAATGAGAAGAACGTCTTTCTATGGTGTTAGTTCTAGGAGGTGTTGTAAGTCTTCATAGAACTGATCAATTTCAGTTTCTTCAGCATTGGTAGTTGGTGCATAAACCTGTATTACTGTGATGTTACAAGGTTTGCCTTGGATTTGTATCGAGGTCATTCTATCATTTTTTAGATTGTGTCCCAGTACAGCTTTTGCCACTCTTTTGTTGACTATGAGGGCTACTCCATTTCTTCTACAGGATTTTTGCCCACAGTAGTAGATATGATGATCATCTGAACTGAATTTGCCCATTCCCTTCCATTTTACTTCACTGATGCCCAAGATGACAATATTTATTCTTGCCATCTCATGCTTGACCACATCCAGCTTACCATGATTCATGGATCTTACATTCCAGGTTCCTATGCAATATTTTTCTTTACAGCATTGGACTTTCCTTTCACTTCCAGGCATATCCGCAACTGAGCGACATTTTGGCTTTGACCCAGCCACTTCATCAGCTCTGAATCTACTTGTACTTGTCCTCCGCTCTTCCTCAGTAGCATGCTGGACGCCTTCCGACCTGAAGGGCTCATCTTCCAGCATCATAACTTTTATATGCGTGTTGTTATTGTCCATGGAGGTTTCTTGGCAGGGATACTGGAGTGGCTTGCCGGTTCCTGCTCCAGGTGGATCACGTTTAGTCAAAACTTTCCCCTATGACCTGTCCGTCTTGGGTGGCCCTACATGGCAAAGCTCATAGCTTCTCTGAGTTATTCAAGCCCCTTCACCATGACAAGGCAGAGATCCATGAAGGGGCATAAATTTTTACTCAAAGTAAAAACTGCCCATTATGGCATACTCTCAACATGTCCCAATTTTCCAGGGACAGTCCTGGAATTACAGAAGCCATTTCTGATTTTATCCCAGAATGTCTCACTTTTCCTTCTTCCTCCCCTCCATGTTTTGGAGAACAAATAAAAGTGGTGTGTTTTTATGTGTAGGTGCAAAAGCCGACTCCTGTTTCTACATAGAATAAAATCCCTGCACCAAATGAAAGGAATGGTGAAATTGGCATTCATAGTAAGATGTAACCAATCCACTTTAAATTATTTAATTGTAATGCTTCTGCAGCCAGTCAGGTATGGAGGGTTACAACACAGGCAATTGGCTATGTCATTTGCCAAAACCTTCTCTCTCTCTCTCTCTCGGAATTGGGGTTGAAACTTCTATATTTGTCAAGGCCTTAGGCAGTTGAGCATTACATTATTCTTTTATTATTCTATTTCCTCTTCCCCTTTTTCTTCTCTGCCCTGCTATTTTGTCCCTCTCAGTTTCTCTTCTCACCTTTCTCCATCAGTCTTTCTTTTTTGAATTACAACCAGCCTCTCACTTATATTCCCTCGCCCTTCTGTACCCATTTCCCTTTCCACAGTTCTCATTCCAAGGCTTTTCGGAATGGGTGGAGCACTGGTTTACATGCAGGAGGTGCCTCTCTCTGGCACCTCCAATTAAAGGAAAAGCATGTCATGGGCAAAGCCTTTCTCATTCCAAGATTCTGGAGAGCTACTCCCAATGCAGAGTAGACAAGGGGTGGCCAACATGGTGAGCTTCATAGGTTGTTGAACTCCATCCATCAGTACTATCAGTCCCAGTCAGCCTGGCCAATGGGCATGGATGGCCAAAGTTGGAGAACCATATTGGCAACCTCTACAGCTGAGCACTCACTGGGCAGGTGCTTTGGCTGCTTGATAGGTTCATATATGTTTATCTTCTACCATTTTGACCTCCAATAATGCTTCTGACAAAGTGTGCAAGATCTAAGCAATGTATTTATTTTAAAAATAGTTTCAGGAGAGAGAGGAACCCAAAGACATTGTTGTTCTACTTGCATCCATTTCTACAAGCCAGAAATGTGGTGAGTGGCTAGAGGCATTTATCCGTAGTCATCATCATCTCCACCATCCAGAAAGAGTAATGATTATTGGGTGTTTCTGATTATTAACCAATGCTGCAAATATATATGGAGAAATGCTGTATCTGGTTATTAAGCAGCTTTTGGAGTGCATTGTTCTGTGGGAGAAAGGAAGAGAAGAGTGTCAGGGAAAGTGGTAAGGAGGAAGAAAATGTGAGCAACTCATATGTATTTCTTTATTTGGAATCAGTTGCCGATGATGCCCATTGGGATTGGTGGCATGGGAGGCAGGGAGGCCAACAGCAGATGGAGCCAGAGCAAATGACAGCTGCAACCACAGCCAATGAGAGGCCCCCACCTACTGAGTTCTACAGGGGCAACACTGAGATGAAGGAGGAAGCACTCAAGGAGTTCCACTCCTTGGCTGGTGGTCAGTAAGAAGGTGGGCATGTGAAGACTCCCTAGAGGCAGACTAAGGCTGGTGGGACCGTGTCCTATTTGCCTCAATGGGTCAGCCACTGTGAGGAACATGTGTATCTCACCATTCTAGTTCAAAACTGAGCCACTCAACACAGTTAACAAATGCAGAAATTTTGGGGGTGGGAAACAGAGCCTATAAAAATTTATGCCAATGAAAGAAGAGCAGATAAAATAAACAATACAGAGGTGTAAAAACCAAAGAGCAGAAGCAGCCAAGTATACTGACAGCAGCAAGAAAATGTTTTGATATGTGGCCAGGAAGGACGAGTCCTCACTAAGGTCTTTGGGGGAATATGAACCTTCAAATACGATAGCCACCTAGGCCAGCATTTCATGCATAACTTTTGGACTGGGTTTTTCCCAGTCTCCAGCCAAGTGGAAGCTGCCTCCTTGCAGCTGGGTCTGAAGCTACTTTAATTCTAATTAACTGGAATCTGAGCCCCATAAGGCAGCCGAAGACAGAGTTGCTAGTCCTAACCAGGCCATCATCATTTGAGCTGGGAACTAGGTAAAAAGGTAAAGGTAAAGGACCCTGGACAGTTAAATCCAGTCAAAGGTGACTGTGGGGTTGTGGTGCTCATCTTGCTTCAGGCTGAGGGAGCCGGCATTTGTCCACAGACATCTTTCCGGGTCATGTGGCCAGCATGACTAAATAATAATAATAATATTAATCATAATATATTATTTATGCCCCACCCATCTGGCTGGGTTTCCCAGCCACTCTGGGTGGCTTCTAACAGAATATTAAAATACAATAGTCTATTAAACATTAAAAGCTTCCCTAAACAGGGCTGCCTTCAGCTTCTGGTGCAACGGAACACAATGATGAAGGCAGAGATCATGGAAATGCCATTCACCTTCCCACCACAGCGGTACCTATTTATCTAATTGAACTGGCATGCTTTCGAAATGCTAGATTGGCAGGAGCTCGGACAGAACAACTGGACCTCAGCCCGTTGCAGGGATTCGAACTGCCTGCCTTCTGATTGGCAAGCCCAAGAGGCTCAGCGGTTTAGACCACAGCGCCACCCGCGTCCCTCAGCTGGTCTCCAGCCAGACCCTGCCCAGGAGCCAGAATTGCTGGAGTCCCACCACACACACCACCCCAGCTGAGGGATGTAGAACAAACTCCTTCCTATCCATTCCCACAGCTAGGTCCAAATTGTCTGCTGCCCTTAGCAAATCTACCCCCCACTCAATTCCTGATAGCTTCAGGTGCTTTAATTATGATTAAGCATGGAAATCAGACCTCAGTTAATTTCAGTGATTTAACTACAGTGGTACCTCAGTTGTCGAACGTAATCTGTTCCAGAAGACCATTCGACTTCTGAAACTTTCGACAACCAAGGCACAATGGGCAGTCAGCAAATTCAATTGAGACAATTGAGAAATGAGCTTCAGTAGCCGTTCGACTTCCGAGGTGCATTCAAATCGGAAGCATTCATTTCCAGGTTTCCGGCGAAAACCAAAATGTTCAACTTCTGAAGCATTCAGCAAACGAGGTACCACTGTACTCAAACTGTAGTGGTGATCTAGATTTGTGAATCTCTCTGAGACTAAATATAGCTCCTCAGATTCTGTTTCACACAGAGACATTCATACACATCTACAACAAAAAAATATTGAGATCAGGTTGCCTTACCGACGTTCCCAAAGTATTTGATGTGTGCCTCAGGAAAGTTTTGCGCCAAAACTAACTTCTTGAATTTTTCTTTGATGTCATCTCCCACTTCCGATCCCCTAGCTTTAAACACAAGCAAAGGCTGAGTAAATTGTTGTTCTCAGAAAGGCTGAAATATCTGTTTTATGTCTATAGAGCACCCAAAGTCTCTTATTCTTGCCATCTTCTCTGGATTGTCCATTAGACAGTCAGGAACAGAACCCCCATGAAACCAGAGAAGAGGATCTAAGCAAGCTTGGCCAAACCTGGCCCTCTAGAGGTTTTGGGGCTACAATTCCCATCATCCATGACCACTGGTCCTGCTAGCTAGGGATGATGGGAGTTGTAGTCCTAAAACATCTGGAGGGCCATGTTTGGCCATGCCTGATCTAAAGGAACTGAAAGCCTACACAGGTGCTGACTGTCCCTATTTGCTAGTGGGAGGCTTTATGGTAGCTGCTCTTTCTGCTGGATCATTGTGAAGTGCTAAAGTGGCCATTCTTTAGGGTTCAACCCCCTTTTCCAAAAAAGATATTCCTTCACCATGGGAAGCGTTGATTATTCCATTGGCCACTTTTTATTCTAGAAGATTATTGTAGTCAAGATTTTAAATAGGTTTTCCTCCTTCTTTTTAACTCTGTACAGTATAGGTGACTGTTGACAGCAAAAAAAAGGGGGGTGTAGAAATTATCCAGATAAGTATAGATAAAGATATTCAATAATTTTATATTCTATTTTTGTATGTTAACTAGAGCCGTAATTGGATTGAACAGAACTTAGGGTATCCTTCCATAAATGGATGCCTTCCAGATGTTTTAGGCAAAACCTTCCACCAGCCACCAAACTGTACTACAGGAGGAAAAGGCAGGGCAGGGCCAATTCCTTCAGCACAGCAGAGTGAGGAGCAGCACTGGCTCTGCCTCCTTCCTTTGAACTTTTCCTGCTCTGGCTGGTCCACAGAAAAACTGGAAACTCAGAACTTGAAACTGAGCTTGCTTCTTTCCTCTCCTCCCAACCCATTCTCCTTTTGTGACTTTTAGGGCGTGTGTGTGTGTGTGTGTGTGTGTGAGAGAGAGAGAGAGAGAGAGAGAGAGAGAGATTTGTAACTTGTTTGTGGCTGAAGAGTGAGTTGAAAAAGAGCAACACTAACTAACTAACTAGCATCCTTTTTGCTGAACCACAGATATGCCACAGGGTGGAGTGAGGGTTATTGGTTTGTTTGTTTTATGTTGTGAACTGCTCTGAGATCTATGGGTGAAGAGCTGTATTTAATAAATAAAAATAAAATCCATTGCCATAACACATACCAGACAGATATATAGCTTCATGTTCTAATTTCTTCTTGTGCAAAATAACATACTTTTCATAATCAATATCCATCAAGTGGGCAATACCATCTATACAGGAAACAACACAAGATATCAACTGAAGGAAGCGGGTTCCTCATTTCTTTGCTGTTAGTGGAGGGGGGGCAGGCAAATTGGGATCAGCCACTCTTAGTCACCTTAATTATTCATTCTTTCTCCCACCCTCTCATTAATATGTCTTCAGAATTTTAAGGGAGGTGAATCTCCATGACTTAATAAGTGTCCTGCCCAGGTCCACTGCCACAGATTGCCCTCCCTAAAGCAGGCAGTGGGAACCACCATTCCTTCACCCCCACACATTTCATCTTGCTGCCTGTCTTACTTTCCCCCTCTTTTAGCCATGGTGTTAGGCATGGCAGACTCCCCTTAGCTCTTGAGTCAGAGAAAAGGGCGTCCTTCCTAAAAGGAAGGTGTTTGTGTAGCCAAGGCTGCAAGTACTATGCTGAAAATCTAAAGTTAAATGTAAATGTTGACTAGTTACCATAGGAAATATATGATTATGTGGACACTCTCTCAACCCCTTCCCCAGAAGGCCTTGCTTTGAGGAAGGACACCCCCTCCTGCCTCTTTCTCAATACAGTCATACCTCTAGTTGCGTTCGCTTCATGTTGCGTTCGCTTCATGTTGCAGATGCATTCTGCACGCTTCGCACATGCGCAGAATGGCCGTGTGCACTCCATGCTTGCACAGAAGCACCGCTCTAGTTGCGGACTTTTCGGTGTGCAAACGGCACCCCGGGACATATTGTGTCCATTTCAAAAATAATAAAACCCTCTAGGTGAGCATTACATTTATTTCAGCCAATCCTAGTGTCAGGAAAGACTGGCCAACTTTTAAGTTCTCCAGCACTCTTCATCGAGCACAATATTACCAAAATAATGATTAATTCACCCACCCACCCAAAAAACCAATCAGACTGGGATGATATATATGAGGGCATGATATATATGATGATATATATGATGATATATATGAGGGCAGCTTAAAGGATCAGTTGCAAGATAAAGATTGTAGGGTGACAGAGTCTCTTCCCAGTACTATGAACATCAGTTGTCTGGCTGCCAGGGATTCTGCGATAAAGAAGCAAAGACTGCTCCCCAGGTCTGAGAGCACAGATCCCAGCTGTAACCCAGAACTCCCTTGTGCAGCCTTGAGTGAAACACTCAAGTTCCTCCTGGTTAAGCAGAGGAGAGATCAAAAGAGAAAGCAGGAGTCTTCCATTTTGAAAAGCCCAAGATTAATTTTGGATGGCAACAAGGCAAATCATATCCTCCTAAGTTGGGAAGTGGAGGCATTGGTTTAACCATCGGCTATGAACCATAACTCAGGGGGTAAATCACTTCCTTTGCATGTGGAATGCCCTGGTTCAATTCCTGATGTTGTGCAACTTAAAAGGATCCTGTCACTGGGATGGAAAGAGACTTCTGTCACTGGGATGGAAAGAGACTTCTGACACTGGGATGGAAAGAGCCACCGTCAGTCTGAGTGGGTCAAACTCAGGCAAACGGACAAATAGTTTTTGGCAGTTTCCTGTTACAGCGGTACCTCAGGTTACAGATGCTTCAGGTTACAGACTCCACTAACACAGAAATAGTACATCGGGTCAAGAACTTTGCTTCAGGATGAGAACAGAAATCACGTGGCAGAGGTGCGACGGGAGCAGGAGACCCCATTAGCTAAGGTGGTACCTCAGGTTAAGAACAGTTTCAGGTTAAGAACAGACCTCCCGAACGAATTAAGTTCTTAACCCGAGGTACCACTGTACTGTGATGTCTCTTTTAGCAACCTTCATATACTGCTCTTTTGCTCTCAGATCACAAAACGCAGATGGAGATTTAAAAATATTTATATGTTTTGTTTAAACTGAGGGAAAATCAGCTTGCAAAAGAAGGGTTTGCAACGAGGTAAAGGACTTCCACATAACCAGACTGTTACGTACCTTTAACTCCTCATTTGCCCTTCCTATCTCTTTGTTATTTAGACTGATAGTCTTATGCTGCATCCTCTTTACAGCCTCCTCCTCCTCCTCTCACTTCTCTCTTGAATCTCAAGATGAGAGGTCAGCTTGGAACGATCTTCCGAAAGAACTATGGAGCAAGCATGGCTGCCTTTGTTTTCTCTAGGCTACCTAGGTTTAGCAAGACCCAGTGCTTTCTTTCCAAAAAAAGTTTAGGGGTCCTCTCATATTCCCACTCATATTGAAATACTGCTCCTCAATGAGGCCAAACTTAGATTGACAAAATGTTTAAGGGTATGCGTACCCCTGTGTCCCCCCCAGAAAAAAGCACTGGCCCTTTTCTAGGCAAGTTATGTATTTCCTAAAATAAGCAACCTTATTGGTGGGTGGGTGATTGCACTGCTCTCCCCCTCATAACTCGATTTTGCACTCAAAAGAAAGAATGTAAATGGGAAAAAGAACAGATGTTTGACCATTTGCCCAAATCACAGCATCTGGATCTTCCAATCACAAAACATACTTTGTCATCAGGTAATAGGGTGGCTCATGGTAGTCATATTTACCAGGAAATTCGAATACACCAGGTTTGTCAGTGTGCTTTAACACAATAGCTGATTGTTTGCAGACACCATCCCTGGAAAAGAGAGCTAAGTGAAAGCACTTCAAAACCAGATACCCAGCCTGCTTCTGCCTTGCTTCCCCCACATGTATTTTTTAGGGTGTCAGAGCCGCTGATGGAAGAATACATTACCAGTAAGATGCCTTAGACTTTACCAGAGGGAGGGATAGCCAGAGTGTCAAGAGGAACGGCACCCTGTTGCTATCAATGCCTTCAAAATGAACAGGCCTTTTTGGAGGCCTCTACATTATCAAATGGTTTCCACAGGATTACTCAATGTCTCCATTGGCATTCCAGCTATGTTTTATTTATATCACTATGCCCAACCTAAGTGGCTCGTTATGATATATTAAGATAAAACAAGACACACACAAAAAAGAGAGAGATAATATGGGATGGGAAACATGTGGTCTTCCCTAAGCAGCAGCTCTGTACAAAATCTGGACATTGCTCCATCCAGCTCAATATTGTCTACACTGACTGGCAGTGCCAGAAACTTTATGCCCTTTCCAAAGCATCTGAAAACGATTTCAGGGGAAATCAGGGCTGTGGCTCAGTGGCAGAGCACCTGCTTTGCATGCACAAGGACCCCGGTTCAATCCCCAGCCTATGCATGATGGGAGGAGAGGTATCAGTTGTAAGGTACTAACGACATATAATTAGCGGTGATTGTCATATCTCCATCCGAAACCTTCACCGTTTGGTCCATCGGTGATATTTTCTGATCATGCTCATTCAACTCAGACAACTTGGAAGCCATCCCGATGGGGTGCCACTTCCCGACAGCCTAAAACAGAAGAATTTTGATTGACATTTTAGGGGGCAACGAAAGGTGATAGGTTTAAATATATAAAATAGTAACGTCCAGTCGGTTGACTGCGAAAGTAATGTTGGTTGTAGCACTGCATTCAGTTTTCAGTGCTGCACTTTCTGTTGTGCATTTTTTGTCATCCCCCCCCCCCCGAACCCACACACTCCTCCTCCCTCCAATGACAATGCATAGATTAGTGCCAGTTATTTTATCCTGGGAGTACATTGCAGTCTCTGGGGAGTTGGACGTGCCTGATATAAAGCAACCCACCTCATCTCTGTAATTTTCCTACCAGAGCTAGAAGCACAAATCAAAATCAGAAAGCCATTAATCTGCTGATAGCCAAGTTTGTGGGCTTGGGCGAGAGGAGAAGGGGGACCCAAAAGCAACAGGGCCTTTACTGTGAGCATTCAAGATCAACAACCCTAATCTGCCATTTGCCATCTGATTGGATTTACTCTAGCTCATTGATTTTAGAATATTTTTATTCCCTGCCTGATATTATATTAATGTTTTATATTCTTGTTGTTAGCCGCTCTGAGCCCAGTCCTTGGTCAGAGTGGGCAGGGTATTATTATTATTATTATTATTATTATTATTATTTACTCAAGAGCAAAGCTGCTCAGGTGTCCTATCCAGAGTCCTAAGAGAAGCAAGGTCAGAGGGGAAAGGGGAAACATCACTCATTTCCACAGGTTGCAAGTCCCATCTGTAAATGTCTTACCTTTTGGGGGTCAAAGTTTGGGTACACAGGGATGTCAGCACTGACAGGAAATATGCAGGCAGGGGTCAGTCCAAACACCAGCAGCAGCACAGCAATCATCCTGGAGCTGGTTCTCTCCTGCTCTTACCGTGAACACCGTGTGCAGGGGGAGAGAATGATGGTCCAGGGTTTCAGCAGCCCAGTTTAAATATCTGCCTCCAAATGTCTTCAAAGCACATCCCACTCACCAACTTATGCAAAAGGGAAGAACAGAGTGGGAGCAACAGGGTTATTTTTGAAGGGAATTCGTTTTATTTGTGGTGTGGAACAAGGTGGAGTCTCCTTTGTGCTTCAGAAGAAGGGAACAAACATGTTTGTTCTCTTGGGTTGTTGAGGGGGATGTTCTTGAGGGGGGTGTTCAAGGCTGGCACATTCCCTTCCTGGGCAAGTACAAAGGTCACAGGTGCTCCATGGCATCTCCTCCTCCCGCCCCACCCCATCTCCACAAGCTGGCCCAGCCCTTAATGACTTGTGGCCTTTTCAGCAAAAGGAGTAGAAGACCTATCACAGAATGAAATACTCAAGCTTATCCAGGATATTAGATCACTGGACCACACATCCCAGGGGCTGGTGGTGGGAACTGCCACCTCAAGGACCTGATCAGGCCCACCAAACTTTCCCTGGTGGCAGCACTGCCACAGGTAGGGGAATGTGCAGAAGACCAGCAGGTGCGGAACAATTATCCTAACCATGGGTTGAAACTAGTACACCCAGCCCAGTGCCAAAATGGAAATATAGATCATCCCTTGCCACCCACCCTGCTCCCAAAATAGATCTGATGAGCGATGGGGAGATCGTCATCTAGTCTTGTGGGAGAAATCCACCCTAAGCAGTTCATTCTGTGAAAAGCCTTCTACCTCTTTTGTGGGGCAAGGGACGGTGGCGGATGTAAGTCTTTAAGCTCTGGGCAAACTTGGGTGAGGGGAGGAAGGCAATGCCTCAGAGATCATGTTATCTCTGCACCCACCCGGGAATGGAATGTGCCAGTCTTCAGAAACATCCCCCTCAACATCCCAAGAGAACAAGCATGTTTGTTCCCTTCTTCTGAAGCACAAAGGAGTCTCCACAGGCTTTGATCAAATGCCAAATGGCCACTTGGGCAAGACGAATCTCCAGCCACATCTTTGTACGTGAGAGGTGGGAAGGAAGGAAATCAAAAGTAGTGATGTTATTCCTCTATAGGCTGCCATTGAAGGTCACTCCTCTTATTTGCTGCAATGTACCTTGTTCCAACCACCCCACAAATAAACCAATTCTCTTTAAAAAATAGGCCTGTTAAGTAGCATCTGTGTGGAGACAGCATTGATATAGTTGGCATAACAGAAATCTGGTGGAACACAGAGAACCTGTGTGACACAGATTCAGGTAGGTAGCCGTGTTGGTGTGATGCAGTAGAAATAGATAGATAGATAGAAAGATAGATAGATGATAGATAGATAGATAGATAGATAGATAGATAGATAGATAGATAGATGATAGATATAGTCCAGTAGCACCTTAGAGACCAACTAAATTTGTTCTTGGTATGAGCTTTTGTGTGCATGCACGCTTCTTCAGATACACTGAAAAAGAAGTCACCAGACCTTTATATATAGTGAGAGGGTGGGGAAGGGTATTACTTAGAAGGGTTGTGGGAATGGGTGAAAGGGAAGAATCCAAAATAGAAGGCATTGTAGCAATGGATGTGTTCAACTACCCTCACTATTTTCTTTCATGATAGTTTTGCAAACAAGTAATGGCGGGGGCAGGGGCTTTACACTTCACAAACATTGTCCAGCCCAAAATGAAGCACATTGATATTTCATTATTTATTATATTTATAAGTTGCCCCATAACAGGATGTTTTCCAGGCAGCTTTCCAACCACAGAATAAAGCAAATTAAAATTCATTGATGGCAAAATAAAAGTGAACAATACAAAAATAATACAGCCTAAAACTCATGCAATGATTTTGCAAAGTTTTTTTGCAGATAAAGTCGCTCAGATTCGGAAAGAGGTAGACTCCACCGTGGGAGCAGGGCCGGGGCGGGAGAGTGCTAGAGTCCTGTCTAGTCAAGTTGCGTGGGATCAATTCCAATCTGTTCCCTCCGAGGATGTGGACAGGCTGCTTGGATGAGTGAAACCAACCACCTGTCTCCTTGATCCTTGCCCATCCTGGCTTATAAAAGCTAGCCGGGAAGGGCTGGGCAATGGGCTTCGTGGGGTGGTGAATGCTTTCCTCCATGAGGGAGCCTTCCCAGACCCGCTGAAAGAAGCGGTTAGTAAACCGCTTCTTAAAAAACCATCTTTAGATGGGGCCACGATGGCCAACTATCGCCCAGTCTCAAATCTTCCATTCTTGGGCAAGGTGATTGAGCGAGTGGTTGCTGAACAACTCCAGGCACGCCTGGAAGAAGCGGACCATTTGGGTCTCTTCCAGTCAGGATTCAGGCCTCATCATGGGACTGAAACTGCCTTGGTTGCACTGGTCGATGATCTCCGGTGGGCTAGGGACAAAGGTGAGAGCTGTTTCCTAGTTCTGCTGGATCTCTCAGTGGCGTTTGATACCATCGACCATAGCATCCTTCTGGACCGTCTTGAGGGGCTGGGAGCTGGGGGCACGGTTATACAGTGGTTCCGCTCCTTCCTCCTGGGCCGTGTTCAGAAAGTGGTGGGGGGGAATGAGTGTTCAGACCCCTGGGCCCTTACTTGTGGGGTGCCTCAGGGTTCTGTCCTCTCCCCCATGCTTTTTAACATTTATATGCAGCCGCTGGGAGAGATCATCAGGGGGTTTGGGCTGGGTGTCCATCAGTATGCGGATGATACCCAGCTCTACCTCTCTTTTAAATCAGAACCAGTGAAGGCGGTGAAGGTCCTGTGTGAGTGTCTGGAGGCTGTTGGAGGATGGATGGTGGCTAACAGATTGAGGTTGAATCCTGACAAGACAGAAGTGCTGTTTTTCGGGGACAGGAGGCGGGCAGGTGTGGAGGATTCCCTGGTCCTGAATGGGGTAACTGTGCCCCTGAAGGACCAGGTGCGCAGCCTGGGAGTCATTTTGGACTCACAGCTGTCCATGGAGGCACAGGTCAAATCTGTGTCCAGGGCAGCTGTTTACCAGCTCCATCTGGTACGCAGGCTGAGACCCTATCTGCCTGCAGACTGCCTCACAAGAGTGGTGCGTGCTCTGGTTATCTCCCGCTTGGACTATCGCAATGCACTCTACATGGGGCTACCTTTGAAGGTGACCCAGAAAATTCAACTAATCCAGAATGCGGCAGATAGACTGGTGACTGGGAGTGGCCGCCGAGACCATATAACACCAGTCTTGAAAGACCTACATTGGCTCCCAGTACGTTTCCGAGCACAATTCAAAGTGTTGGTGCTGGCCTTTAAAGCCCTAAACGGCCTTGGTCCAGTATATCTGAAGGAGCGTCTCCACCCCCATTGTTCTACCCGGACACTGAGGTCCAGCACCGAAGGCCTTCTGGCGGCTCCCTCACTGCGAGAAGCCAAGTTACAGGGAACCAGGCAGAGGGCCTTCGCGGTAGTGGCGCCCTCCCTGTGGAACGCCCTCCTATCAGATGTCAAAGAGAACAACAACTACCACACTTTTAGGAGACATCTGAAGGCAGCCCTGTTTAGGGAAGCTTTTAATGTTTGATGTGTCACAGTATTTTAATATTTTTTTGGAAGCCGCCCAGAGTGGCTGGGGAAGCCCAGCCAGATGGGCGGGGTATAAATAATAAATTATTATTATTATTATTATTATTATTATTATTATTATTATCATGGCACAAGGTATGACTCAAGAAATCTAGAACAATGTTACAATCTATACAGAAAGTACTAAGAGACCTGGCTTTGCTTCAGGCCAAAAGTGAAAACTGCAAGCACTAGGCTAGCTCTGCTGGAGAGGGTGTCCCAGAACTGAAATGCCACCACTGACAACTCCTTTTCACTAATAGCCACCTGTGTTTTTCATTTGATGAGGCAGCTAACAAAGCGTAGCTGTTCCTATCCAAGTAGGGTCAGCAGGTGAGCCACCAGCCAAAGCTGACGGAAAGCACTCCATGTCATGGAGACTATTTGTATCTCCAGCAGCAATGATCGATTCAGAAATACCCGTAAGCTGCCAAATTGATGTCTCATTGTGACTTGATCCAGACATGTTGCCCACATGTTTGGATGAAGAACACAGCAGTGTCTCTGTTTTATTTGGATTGAGCTAAATACTGTAGCAGAATGCTACATTTAAATATATTATTATTATTGGAGGGAGTGGGCTGTATGCCAAGACCCTTCTAATTTCTAGATCCAGCAATAATCTAAGGAAGGATTCAAATTGTTGGAATAGCCACATCAGTTTCTTGATATTGGCACTCTAAATATGGGTTGTTAAGGTGACAAAGGAAGTGGTTGTGTGCCAGATGACAAATGAGTGGGGCCATCCCTCAACTCGCTAATACTTAGAAAAGGGCCAGAGGTGAGGGTGTTGGTTTTTTTGGTGTATGCACGCTAGAAGCTGGAGGAAGAAGCGGGCTGAAGCCTCTGAGGGAGAAACATGCTTGAAGTTTGCTTGAATCCAAGACTTGTGGCTATGGGTGAAGCAAGACCCTCTTGGGGTGATAATGCGGTGAGCCCCTCCATCGTAGGCTCAGGTTGTATATATGTATAAATAAACCATACATCCTAAAGACACCACAGTCTCCTCTGTACCTCATTCCGAGGAGATATGAACCCTGGATGAGCACCTGGAACTCCTGGAATCTCACACCGCTCGGAGACTGGGGTGGCGTGCAACAATATTCATGAATGAGCTCAAGCAGTATTTAGTTTTACAAGACAGACAGAAGGTATCACAGTATATGAGAATAGAAACTGATCTTGTTAAGCGCAAAATAAAGAATGCCAAGGCACTCCCATTTCTTTCAGAACTTGCCATAGTTTGCAATGGTCGACACAGTCAAAGACTTTTGCATAGTCAATGAAGCAGAAGTAGATGTCTTTCTGGAACTCTCTAGCTTTCTCCATAAACCAGCACATGTTTGCAATTTGATCTCTGGTTCCTCTGCCCCTTCAAAATCCAGCTTGCATTTCTGGGAGTTCTCGGTCCACATACTGCTTAAGCCTGCCTTGTAGAATTTTAAGCATAACTTTTCTAGCGTGTGAAATGAGTGCAATTGTGTGGTGGTTGGAGCATTCTTTGGCACTGCC